TCTGCTTCAATGCAGCGGCAGAATTCCCATACCGAGGGTGTTCGAAACCCTCGCTGCTGGTGGTCTGCTGTCACTGCTGTTTGAAGGTGGGTTTATAACCTCATTCCCTCTAACAAGTGGCACTGCTTCAATTACAGTCAAAGCAGCCTCGCAACATTGTTGGGTTTGGGTTTTTTTTTCTTTTTTTCCCCCCATTCTTCAGTGCAGCTACCCATGGCAAGGCCTGCCAGGCCACCACCATTCAGCAGTCACAGCTCATGAGCTGCATCAACCTTTCAATCTAGTGTTCCTAATTAAGCAGTTTTAATGGCAGGATTTAATGTTTTACAGAGTCTAAACGAAGTGGAAAAAATATGAACTGGTTTTTTTTTTTTTTTTTTTCTTTCCAGCATAAGATTTTGATCAGATAATTTAACCTCTGGGTGAAATGGAAGTAGGAGCATTTATGCACAGGTGGTTTTCTCTGCAAAAGCTTTACTTTGTGTAGATCCTAGCATTAATATATTAACTGCTTGGCTTTGGGAAACTGTTCTGAATGTTTTCATGTGCTTTCTGCCCTTCTGTTATCAATAACAAAACCCCAAAGCGTTTTGAAACCCGGTAACTTGTAACCAGCTTAATGCCAATTGCGTTGCATATTAGTAAAGCACCGATTAAGGCTTCTATGACACTCCCTGTAAAAACAACTGCTCAGACTGGTTTTCCAACAGCAACACAGATTTGTATCCTTTTAACCTATTTAAATAACACTCGGTTTCCTTTTGGTGGTGTACTGATCTAATTCTAGCTAGTGCTAGATGAGCTGGCTATGTGCACGGACTGGAAACTGTCATTCCTTTGAAAGCAATCGTGTGTCTGAATTGAAGCTACCTGGATATATAATTAGGTTATGTAATTATTTTATATAGGATACACACGGAGTTATAATAATCAGTCCTTCATAAGGAAGAGAAAGCCAGTATGGCAGGAAAGTTATGTTTAGTAATTTAATGAGTACCTTTTAGACGGGAAATTATACTGTTAAATTTGGGGTTGTGCAGCTGAATGGAGTTGCATTCACCCTTGCGCAAGGTGTTCTGAATTCTGCAAGGGAAGCACTGCTTCAAACAATTATGTCTCTTATATGTTACTGTATATCATAATCACTTCCGAAACTTATCTGCTTGCTAAAGCTGGAGAGAAGTGAGCTGTTTGGTGCAGTACTGGATTTTCTAGTTTTACTTTCCTGTGTCTGAAGTGAATATTAAGTTAAGCAGAGAGGTCTAGCTGAGGTAGCCTGGGGAGCTGGCAGATGAGACAGTGCATTGTTTCCCATTTACTTACAATAATGAGAGATGCTGGAGGGAAGATAAGCAATATTACATATACTGGGAACGAAGATTGGTTCAGATCCATTAAATAAATAAAAAAAAGTTCCTTTCACCTGTAATCTGTAGATAGCACATAAATTAACTGCAACAGGAGGAGAAGAAGCTACATCCTTCCTCACTACCTGTGCTGGCAGAGGCTCAGCGTCGCTAGCCAAGCCTCCCAGTGTAAATCAGGCATACGTGGTTTTTCTTTCCTAGTTTCTAGGTTGATCAGTTGAGACCTCGTTGCCTTTTTCTTCCAAGAAAGACCTTCTACAAAACAGACTGCTCTTGCCACATTTCTTCTGACCATCAAATAACAGCACGCTGGTCTAGTCTGGGGAGTATGTGCTTGGGGGAAGACTCTACTCGTTTAGAATGAAATACCCTTGATTAAAATAGGAGGTTAATAGTGCTTCTGTGTGTGCCTTGCTTTACAACTTGCACGTTAGCTCCAGCATTTGAAAAGATAAATTTGAGCCAGCAGGAATGAAAAAAAAATAAAGGAGAGAAAATGAGCTGGAAATGAAATACAAATGTCTTTATTTAGTACAAAAGGATTCTTTTCACTATTGGCTTTCTCGTTTTTTTAGGTTCACGCTTGCCTTGACAGTGCAAAAAAAAAAAAAAAAAAATTGTTGGGAAGTGCATGAAAATCTGAAGTAAAACAAGAGTTAACAGCTTGTGAAACTTTTTTTTTAGTGTTACAGCAGGCAGCAGCCTGCACTGGGAGCTTGGGAGTTTTTTGTTTCAAAACTTAAGAATATATATATTTACCTTGTGAAAAGTAAGCAAAGTTCCATGCTGTGAAAAATCACTCTGCTGATGCTCAGATGTTTGTATAAGAAAAATGCCGCTTTAGAGATTTCTTGTGGGTAAATGTTTGGCTAGATGCGCGGTTACAGGGTGAAGGGACGCAGATCGGCTCCTGCTTTTCCAGCGTACCCTTGAATCCAACCTCAGACCTTCTCGGGGTCTCCTGGCTGTCCTCCTTCTTCCCGTTGTAAGGCTCCTTGGCTTTCCCCCGAGAGCAGAGCTGTCTGAGCGTGGAAACGGGGACGAGGACAGTCTCCTCCTCGTAAACCCGCCACAATCATCACTAAGTCTTTGGCGTTTGCTATTCATTACCCATTCTGGAGTGGGGAGGGGAGCTATGAAAACTCATTTTTGGACAGATTTTTGAAGTTTCCATTGTTTTCCTTTGTGAGCAGGTTTGAGGTGGGTTTGTGATGCAGACAGGTGTATTCTCGGCTGGGTCTTCTGTCTTAATTTTGGATAACACATGAATGTGGAATTTGAGCTCAGCTCACTACAGGTCTGTTAATGAAGTAATGAATGTGACGGACACCAAGCCCCATTGTCCGTTTCTCCTTATCCAGACAAACCCATACTGTGTATGTGCCGTGTGTGTGGCTTTTTTAGAGGCCATTTCTTTAAACTATTATTTATTTCTTCCTTGGAAACTACAGCTAGGGGAGTAGATGATCATGAACTCTTCATGGGAGCTTTTCTGCTGATGATTGTAGCAGTACACACGAGTTTGCCGTGACAAGAAATAAGTCATGCGTAGTCCTGGCAGAGGAGTTATTTTTTATTTTCTTCTATCCACTGTATTTTGTCCTGTATTTCTCACCGTCTCTGCTCTGAAACATTTGAGGCATTGCCAGGCTAAGGAAGAAGCAGCAGGGGCCTGCCGTGCACTCCGGCTTTGGCTCTGTGGTGTCTGAGGAGTGAGTCAACATCAGCATCTCTTCAGAAAGAATATCTAAAATCAAGGGAGGATGAAGCAGATTAGCTAAAAAAATCAAATGCCAGAAGTGTTTGTTTGTCTTCCCTCACCCTTTGTCAGCAGAGCTTAGGTTTTTATTCTAATATTTATGTAGCTGAAAGATGTTATAAAATCAGAAGTACTGTGTCACAACACAAGGGGTTCTGTTCACTCCTATAATCCCAGTAGGAAAATAACACGATTTTTTTTTCTTTATATACTTAAGTATTTTGCTATTAGTGTCGTTGGTAGCTTAATGGATTTCTTGATTGTTGAGCTCCTCTTTTTGATACAGTATTGTTAGTCTTTGGATGCATTCAAAATGACAGGGAGCGATAAAAACAGTCATTTCAATTTGAGATATCTGGAGATAATTTTTTTTATACCTACTGTGTGAAAATAACTTGAACAGTAGCAGAATTATCCATTGTAAGAGAGATGATTTTACTTGTGAGTTGGTTTTAAAGATAAAATCTGCCTACTTCCCGAGATGTGGATTTCCTATTCATTGCTCTGTTAAGATTAATCGGGAGCAAGACTTAATCCAGAACAAGGATGATTGAATTGTCCTTAAACAGTGATGGAGAACATTACCCAGATCTCAAGTTGAGAGCCTCTCTTGGTCTCGCAGTGCTGAGAAATCACAAGCATTAGAGCACTGCTTGTGAGTACATCATATGAAGGGTGCTTTTTCCTCATTGTTGGGTCATTAAAAAGTAAAATACTTTCTGGTTTTCGGAATAAAGTTGTTAGGAGGTGTTGTATGGAATGGGTTAAATCCATGTAGCATGTTAGCTAGGGAATATTTTGGCGTACAATAAGAGAGAAGGCTCGCTCCACCTGCAGAAGCCTCTGATGGCTGGAAGGTCTGCCATTAACTAAGCCACTTCTGGGTTTGTGGAGTGGCCAGGATGGAAAATTAAGTACCTTAATGCAGCTTTGTTTCCTTTTTGGGAACCCAGAGAAGGACAAGCTTAGGCTCCAGCTACCTGAGCCCTCTGGGCAGTGTGGCCAGCAGAGCTGCAGCACGATCCACCGCTCCCCTTTGCTGTCGCCAGCCCCGAGTGCTTGCTGCCAATGTGGTGATGCTAACAACAAAACCGTGCTTTTTAGAATTAATGCCTTGTTTTAATCTTCTCTTTTCCAGCAGGAAGTGTGTACAGCCATCAGGTTGTCCAAAATCTCCAGTTACAGCCTCGAACAGAGTGAGGATGTAATCTGGTTCTTGCCCTTTTGGAGGGCCAAGGAGATAGCGTGGGGGGAAGCATCTAATTCAAGGATTTCCAGGCTGTGACGTGTGAGCTTGACAGCCCCTCAATTCATTTCAGGACTCCTACCTGACAGCAAGCTGTGATCAGTAACGTTTGGGAGCTGGCAATACTTATTTCAGATGCACATACCACATTTAAAATTTAAAAAAAAAAAAAAAAAAAAAAAAAAAAAAGGCAGCTTGCTGTTTAATGGCCTTGCTGTAGGGACGCTGGCAGGCAGCACACTGTTGGCAAGCTGTTCCCTGGAGTTTAGGAGCATATTCAAGGCCAGGAGATTTAGGGACTTAATGGCACTGCAGCTTCAGGCCCTGCTGTTAGCTGGCAATCACCAAGCAAGTAAGGAAGGAGCCGTCGGTGCTGCATTAAAGGCCGTTGGGCGTGCGTGTGTGCCCCATGCTGCATCTCTTTCTTCTGGCTAGAATGGTTTTGACCTTCCGAGTTCAACTTTCCCACTTAATTATATTTTCCTATTATTTGAATCCTCTTTTCTTCACCTTATTTGCATGCATTACCACGTGCTTCATTTAGGATTCGATACAGTCAGAAGCCTGGGATAAAAGACAGTGTAGTAAAAGGCTGTTTTAATCATGAGATTTTGTAGGACTGGAAGCTGCTGGGACCAGTTGGGGACCCGTCATGGGCAAAAGATACATGTTTTGTCCACCGTTGCAGTCTTCCTAGAGTAAAGTGGAGGTCTCTGTCTGCTTTAGAAGAGCCAACTAAACCAGATCGTTCCCCTCCATACATGTGTGTTATCCCATAATGTGCCAAGACAGCTCCTGCAGCGTCCTCGGCAGCGGCTGCTGCCCAGCCGCGATGTCCCACCACGTGAGGACAGCCCTTGGGCAGGGTTTTGTCTGCAGCATCCAGAGCTAGGTATAATTGCCAAGCGTGAATCCAGCTCGGTAGTTTAAAGCAAGACTGTAATCATATTTATTGGGTTTTATGTTAAAATGCCCTTTTTCAAAAAAATCTTCTTTAGGTTTAAGAAACTGGCTGTAGGGGTGATTACATTCTGCTTGGAGAGGTGTGTGTTGGTTGTCCTGAGGTTCCCCTTCCCTTTCAATTCTTCTTGCTGCTTCAAGAAACAGTCATTTGCTGTAAAGTCAGGTTTGCAGCTTTGATTGAAAATGACTGTGCAAAACCCCATCAAAGCTGTACGTGCCCCCGAGTCATTTAAAAAAAAAAAAAAATAATTAAAGGCACCTTGGAGTGTGTGAGCTCCCTGGGTTGTCAGGAGCCATCACCTGTGGTTTGCTGGTGTCCCCAGGTAGGCCCTAGTCAATCTTTATCCGCCCAAAGAGCCCAGGAAAAAAGGGAAGAAAGGGAGAAAGGATTAAATTGCTCTCCCTGAGATTTAGGATGATTATTAAGTGCTGGCCCACTGCCTGATGACTGTCCCTGGTTTGCAGAAGTGAGACAGATCTGAGAGGGGTGACTGCAGCTGTATAGCTGGGAAGTTGTGTTTTTAATTGCTAATTAAAGTTGCCATTTGCATTTGGGGTTTTCCTTTTTAAAGAATGACATCATATTACACAAGAAACTGCTAGCATTGTTTATTTATAGCACCACCAAACTGACTACTCGCTGCTTTGCTGGTACATCTGTATTTCACCTATTGCCTACTTTTGCTTTCCTATCTGTTTTTTTTATTACTTCTGTCCTGACAGCCCTTGTTCTTCTAGTCCTTGACTCCCCTCCCGTGCAGACATATGATCCCCTAACGTTTTCCTTTTTGTCTTTATAAACAATAGGCAGGCAGTCTAATAGCATAGTCCAAAGTCAAGGGAGCTTTGCAGATTCAGCTTGACAGCTCCTCTCTCTGAATTATTTAAAGACCATAAACAAAAGAAAGCCCATCTAGAGCTTCAGGTGACTTCTCATCTAGTGTTGTGGAGAGTGCCTGATAGTCCCACTAATTTTGCGCATTTAAATCTAAGGGATTTAGTAGAATAGCAAATGTAATTAGAATTCATGGGGAGCCTCCTGGCGTTCCTTGGGGGAGGGCAAGTTGCAGGGAGGTGAATGAGCAAGTCGAAGAGAGGGGAAGTGGAAGGTGAATGAAAGAATAGGGAATTTCTCTCTAGTAAGAATTGTGTGTCAAGTTTAGATTTTATTTTTTTTTTCCCCTCACACAATCAATGAACTTGTCTAAAGACATCGTACGTTTTTCTTCTGACTTTAATCTCAGTCCTTGGGGGTTTTCGGGTTTGGTTTTTTTTTTTTTACATGCTTTGTTTTTAAATCTAACATGCTTTTCAACAGCTGAATGACCCAGTGATTTCTGATTTCTCAGATGCATTTTTGTTGCTGGTTTCACTCATTCTTCTGGAGTCAGGAGTGTTTTAGATGGATGGGATTAGGGAAGCAGGCAGCAGAGCACAATTGAGTCCTCTAGGTGATGCAAAGTTCATTATTATCTTTTGAATAGTTCATTCTGCAGAACGAAGTAGGGAAGATGTCATGCTTTGCATTTATTCTACTAAAGCTATAAAGCTGTACTCTCATCATTCTTAATACCTAAGGCATCGCTGTCTTCTCTTCCCACTCCCTTCTCCCCCCAGATAAATACAATGAAGAAAGCATGAGTAGTGGGACATTAGAGAAGCAACCTCACATGTATCATCTGTACGGTTTTGTTTAATGAAGTTCTTCACCTTTTATGTACAGTCCGACCTTATTAAAATTCAATATACTGTACTGTCTTTTCACAAGCAACCATACAATTGGTAATCAAAGCTGGTATTTCGCGGTGTGGCCTTACTTTGAAAACTGACTTGCAAAAATGGCTTGTGGGCTTCAACATACCTTCTTTCAGTTTACAAATGAAAGATTGCTCTCTTCCAAACTGCCTTGACGACATGACCCAGCTCAAAGTCCAGTTCAGCTCCCTTTTGCTTATGGTCATAACAGATTTACAGGGAGCCAGACCAGCTCTAAACATGTTTCTGGCTGCAGGTGAAGAGGAGATGGTTCTGCTGGCTGGGAGAGGATGCTCAGCTCTGCTGCCCCATCCTTCCTTGTGCTTACCCTGTACCACAGGAACAGAAGACAGTAGACTTTTTTTAACACAACCTGAAGACTTGAATGTGTGCAGGGAGAAGATTGAAGTATAACTGGATTTTTACCTAGTTACTACTCAAGAGTAAACTTGTGCTTGTGACTTTAAACGCAGTTTTGGCTATCATCAGAACCTGCTGCCTGCAGTTGTAGGCTCTTGCCATTTTTCATTGTCAATCTCAAGTTTATCAACATCTCTTCTCCTTCATAATTTTCCTGCATGCCCTGGCTACTGAAAATACTTGCCCAGCACACTCTGCGCTTTTGAAGCAGTATTTTGAGGAGAGAAAGGTTCCTATTTCTCAAGACTAGAGAAGGCCACGTGGTTTGGTACAGCTTGCCCAGCCTTGTCTTCATTGCAGGAGGTTTTCAGGTACGTAGTGCTGCGCTTGATCCTGTTATAACATTAGCTGAATTGGATGTTGAAGGAGAGCAGCAGGTTCTGAATTCTTTCAAGATTAATGGAAACTTTTGTTTTACTTTAATTAAACTTCCATTCCTTAAATCAAAGTCCTCTTTCCCAAATAGGTGTATGTTATAAATAGCATTAGTGTAGGTATAATTTCATGAAGCTTATACATATGCTAATGTTAACGTTTGTGCCTTGATTTTTCTCTGCAAGAAACAATTTGTCCTTTCTTTTATCTCAGCGGGTCCTGGTGATTTCACTTCTGTGGCACACATATATATGTGTCGCATAGGAAATACAAGAAATGTATACATTTCCTTTATATATTTATATGTGGATAGTTCCTGTAGTGGCTTCTGCAGCTACAAGCTGGGCCACCTTGCAGGCAGGTACCCTTCCTTCTTCTGTTCCTACCACCAAGCAGCTTGTGGCCCTTTGGGTGGAAGCAGCCTCCAGGGATGAGGTGTTTTTGCTCTCCTGCTCGGCCTCACTCCCCTCCCCATGCCGCAGCTCTGCCCGCCACAGCAGGTGTGTAATCCCCCACCCTCCCTGCCTCCAGCCTCGCCTGGAGGTGCAGCATCTTGCGTATGCTGTCGTTTCCCCCCACACACACACACGCAGCATCCTCAGCACTGACACTCAGACCCATGACTCTGTTCCTGTTGTTATCAAATACACTATTCCTGGCTTAAAGAGAAATGAAGGCTTTGATTTCCATGGCTGCCAGACTTCTGGCCCATCCAGTAACACAATTAGAAGGCTTGCAGTTGCAGTGAAACCATCATCCTTCTTTTCCAGCTGGCATGAGCAAAACAGTCAGAATAGATGATGTTTCACAGATATTGAGCACACGAGTCCCCATGCAATGTTATTCCAAGACCCGTTAACAAAACGGTCAGGATTTTAACGTGTGTCCAGAGCTTTCAAAGTTGATTGGTTTGAGATACTGTAGCTTCAGGGTTTGGGGTTTGTTTCGTGGTAGGATCTCACTAACAAATGGATGGGTGTGTTCAAGGGATGTTATTACAGTTAAAGCATACAAATTAGATGTCAGAATTCAGGTTGCTTTCACATGACCCTTTTTTGCATCTCTGTGTCAGGCCAGTCTTAGAAGTAGAGGTGATTTTCATTAGGATGGTGCAAACAAGCTACAATCGGCAGGAGATCAAATTTACTAGGTGTTGTCCAAACAGACAGCAAGTGACAGCTTCCTGCCCCAAAGAGTTGACAGCCAAACTGTATAAAATGAACAGTAGCAGAGTATGAATCCATTATCTGTTTTTAATAAATTGGTTTCCTTGGTCCATCAGCCATTTCATGAGTTCCTGCCAAAGTGTTCCCCTCTTGCTGACCTAGCCAGCCTGACTCAGCTTGGCTCCCTTTGTCATTTGTGATGACATCTATGATTAACCCGTTCTTCTGTATTGATTGCCACCATCTGTGGTTGCAATGCATTAATTGTTCTTCCACTTATGCTTTGAGGGGGGACGGTGTTGTGTGAGGCATTTAGTAAAGTTGTTCTTTCCAGCCTGTCCCACCTAGCATTGGTCAGCACACGTTCCCACCAGTTACCAGTTGCAAGACCTCTTTCTCCAGAGGTTAGTTCGGGGCTTTATCCACCCTGTCTTAAGTCTATGGTAGTTTTAATACCTTAATAATAGTCAAGCCTTTCTCTTTCTTGCTTTGATTAGGAGAATTCTGTGTTATTTAATCTTCTGCACACCCTGTCTTAGACTGGGAGCCATGCAGGAAATGGTGACTTTGTGATTACTCATAAGCAACACTTAATACATTATTCTGCTGGGAGCAGGAAGGCTCTGCATCCTACCATCATGAGGCAGACTTCATATCGATACTCTTAATCTCTCTTAATCATACAGACCCAGCTGCCAAAGATGGTGAGGAGATGAGCTCCTCTCGGTTTCAGTGAGAACTTCTGAAAATCCATCCGGCTTTGCTGAGAGGCACACACTTGGGTTAAAGGGACTGACAATAGGCATCATTTGGGTGTGGAATGTTTCATCACATGATAATTGGGAAACCTAAAGCGTTTCCATAGTGTGTAATTTGCATACAGAGCAGGATTCATGATATTTGGAAAAAACAAGGCTGGACTTGCCCCAGTATGGGCTGTGGGACAATTCTAGATGGCTGCCAGGCAGTATCGAAAAGTCCATCCCTGATCCTTTGTGCAAATCAGTTTGGCCGTCAGCTATAGCCTCAGTCCCAGGAACCGCTGTTTTTCTGTACCAAATGGGGGAAGCAAACAAAACTGTTGG